ACTTCTTATCTTCATTTTCGTGTCCACATAGTATTTTCCATTCTTGTACATGTGATAGCATGTGCATCACGTACAACAATTAGGCGGGTCGCGTCATCGCAAAAGAGCACATCGATCCCGACATAAATAACTTTTACTTCCATTTGGTATACCCCACCATTCACAAGCGCATTACTTTAACCCCTCGAAATTCGTAACGAGGGGATAATAATGAAGCATCATATCGCAGTTTCTTCGATCTTTGTTCCCATACTGACGTTTGATGATTTTCTACGGCTATGGAGAATTTCGGACTGCAGAATAACCTGCTGGTTGACTTTTCTATGAAGAACTATGGCATAGGACACTAAACCCACTAACACAATTGCCAGTGTCGGCAACACGAGGAAAACTATAAAGAAATGCACACAGACTTTATCTGGGTCTGAAAAACAAAGAAAATCATTTCTATTGTTTGTGTAAAATTATTCATGATATACTATAGCTTATAAAACGGTTCGGCAAAGATAAAATTACATATACTGATTGATTATCTCCCCTTACAAGGCGTTGATGTTAAAGTCAAAATTCATATAATGACAAGAATTATTCAGAATATAGGCCACTATAATATTAGTTATATGTTAGCATGGCGCAGTGAATAGAGCGTTTGCTCCAGAGTCGCGGAGTTAGTTGATCCTTAGATCGTGGGTCCGAATCCAACTGCGGAACGTTGAGACCGGTCCTTCGGATGAGACCGTATAAACCGAGGTCATGTGTCGCAGTAGGTGCTGGCACGAAAAAGATCCCTCTCTGCTCAAAGCCCGTAAGTGCCGAGTACAGGTCTAAATTTGAAGTCCTCCGCCGGCATGTGATGGCGTCTTAATATAAGCGAAAAATTCTCAAAGGGACGTTAAACAAACAAACACTACTATAATATTTTACATTATACCTGTTGTTTCAGGGATGACTGTACGTTTGGACACGGTATATCTATTTCCAATGTACGAATGTCCAAGTAATTCTTCGAAATCACGTTTCACGTGAGATTCTCGCTTTAGTTTGATATCACGCTTCCGTCTCGATCCACATGATTCCTGAAGAATAAGACAGAACACTTGGATATAAATAAGAATTTTTTAGCTGATTGATGAGAAAGATTTTTTTTTAAAGTTTATGTTTTATATCCCATTTTGTTTTATTTCAGCATTTATACATAGCATCTTGACTACGGTAGTGCAGTAAAGTGTTTCCTCAAATTTAAATAGTGCAGAAAATGAAAATTTACTTGCGTCGATGCATGGCCCAAGGCAGAGTTCAAGAGTGCAAGAGAAAGTCATAGTGACTTGAATATTAGAAAGCGTCGTTGTTCTAAATGCATTAAAAGAGGATGTCATCGCTCCATTTTCTAAGCGAGAAAAATCGGGAAAAAGCTCAGATTCAGAAGCACAGCTGTCAGGAAAAAAATTAAAACTTAATTTTGAAAATGTTGTTCAAGCAGTTGCAAAGCATTTTTTTACCACAATCCCTTTTCTTTAGTCTTTGGGGTTCAATTTCAAATTTCTTTTATTTTTGAACTGACTTTTACATTTAGATGTGTATTTTGTCAGTAAAATTACTATAAGCAATATTCGAAAACTCTTGCTCAAAAGAACCATGCACTTACAAATTTTCTACTATAGGAATCGTTGAAGCCGTGCAGTATCTAACTTTAAAGTCAAAATTATCTACAAAAAAAAGCAAAAAAAAACTGTTTTTAACATATTTTATTGAATGTAAAATGTTATTTGATTAGACACATACTTAAAAATACGGTATTCGTCTTTCAATCATACTCTCCTGTTAAAAACGTAATTTCAACCAAGAAATTGAAGCTTATCAAAATTCTGATTGTTTGGATATATCTGATATTATAAGAAAAGAATGGAGCAAAACATATTCGGGATGATAAAATAAAGAATTGCATTCCTCTAAATATGTACGTTTTACCTCCACATACATTTAACCATTGGAAGATACTAGATATTCCGCAAAACAATGCATATATTAAGCTTGATGGCGTAAAGATAAAGGTTTGAGTAGCTGATGATAAACATCAATGAGACCTGCAGAAAAAGGCCACTAGTCAACGAATTACAGCGGTCCTTATTGTGCAGGTGACAATGACAGACTCATCTCCCGACGGAGCTATACAGACAGACAGATAGACAGGAAACATGGAGAGAAAAATCAACAGCTCGAAAAAAAATGTTCAAAGTGCAGAAACTCGTTCTCGAAGGACGGGAAACACAGGGAGAAAATCGACAGCTCATTTGTCTAACAGAAATATTAAACCAATTGTTCATGAGAAGCTATAACTCATGAAAACATAAAAACAAAAAAAACAAAAAAAAAAAAAAAAAAAAAAAAAAAAAAAAAAAAAAAAACGAATAAATAAAAGGTAAACATGTTCCTTTTAGAACGTTGCTTCTACTAAGAAAGATTGTATTTACTGAGGAATGCACAAATCACAATATTTTAATTAGTAAATGTTTAAGGTCAAAAGCCATTACCTATGAATTGTTTGTCCATACTAATTATCATAGTGATTGGATCGCCAAGCTTTACGTCACGTCCGCTGACGTCATATCCGTTTCTGTATAGCTTCATGGATAACCTTGGTCGGGTAGTCTTATTTACTCCAGCCTTATCCTCACTAAATAAACACTTACGATTAATAACATAACATGTAATTTAAAATCGTGCATAATGATGACCTTTGCCTTAGTCAAACATTAAATTTACATGTGGATGTATACATATGTGTTTTACAATGACCCTGTACTTTTGCATTACATACCTTTGGTATCTAAGCTTTATTTTTTTTTTAAATGATTGTCTTGACCGGATTCCCCACTAAAATGCCAATTGTACTAAATGCATTTAAAAATTAAAGCAATTTTCTTACCTATTTTGATCTGCGTTTACGCTGATTTGCTTGATTTCTGACAAGTCAAAATGGCAGACAAAATGAAGCACTAAGTCTAGCTCTGTCTGGTATAAAGGACTCCTCTGGACACACAGGTAGTACTCCTCATTCTGTGGTTCAATCAATAATTAAAGCAAATATACAACAAAATATACACATATAAGGCTGCACAGTTAATGCAGGGGATTTGTTTTTTAAATTAATTTCAGACTCAATTGTTTACATTCATAATAAAAATTATTCTTTTAATATCATATTGATAAATGAACTTTACCGGATTTATCATACAGGCATTAAATTCAAACACATGATACGTTGTTTCATTGGTTGTTTCTCGGATACAAGATGCCTGACCTCCCCGGATGTAAATTATTCCGCCAATTGCGGCACCGCTTAAGGTCAGCTGTATGTCGACTCCAGAACATCTCTCAAATTTTACTGAAAGCGAAATATTATCCTAATTAAGAAAGCTTAAATTTACTGTTTGATTATTTTCAAAATTTGATTTTAAGGTGTTTAGAGAAAAAAAAAAATCACTATGCAACTTTTTTTTTGTTTTCTGAGGTTCTGTAACTTTAATACGATTCTATTTTGATTGATTTAATAATTTCCCAAAAAGCACATAAACACAGCAGAGAAAATTTGATCAAACACATCTTATTTTCAAAATTCAGTTATTTATCTGTCATTTTCTTCATTTTAAGAATCCTCCCTTTAGGTGCATATTCACAGGAACAGTCAGACAGAAATACGTAGAGTGTAAGTGAGCAAACTGGCCATAGCTTCATCTCTCCTGCTATCTTAACATGGTGCCTAGGTTATCTGCTGAAAATAAATCTTCCATTTGTTCGTCAACTGTCGTTCTCGAATAAAATAAAAATCAAAACATGGGCGAATAAGACTTGCAAAATGCCAACAGCTTTAAATGATAAAAATCAAAATCAATTTGTGAACTAGTTATATAGAGCAAAGTTCTTACTAGAAAAAGGTATGGAATTATGACAAGCAATACTGTTCAAAGGAAAATTCTCTCGGCAAAAACTATCCCATGATTTAAAAAATGCGGTTTTTATGAGGTTGGAACTAAGCGAAAATATCTTAATTAACACTCTTTTTCTTAAAGTCCGGCACTCACATGTACCCCCTTCACCACACAATTCATAGAAAATAATTGCATTTATTTCTTGTTTGTAATTAATGAATCATTGAACTATAAATATTTCTCGAAAAGAGATAAAAATTATGTCATTAAAGTGTTAAGTAGGCCCTTGCTTTTTTATGTTATGTCATGAAAGTGTTTTTATAAGAAATATTAAGGTATAGTGAGTCTTTGCTTTTCATAGACAAATAATTTCAATATTTGTGAGACTGTGGAGATTTCACATAGTGTATACATCAGTGTTACCTGATACATAACGGGAAAAGAATGTTGTAATGATGAGGTTATTTGTCGAACCTCGGGCATTTTTCTCTGTTTATTCTTCTCTGATGTATAAATTATATAAGCATTTTAGATAATCTTGAAATTAGGTTGGATTATTTTTTATTTAAAACAAGTACCTTTTAAACGCCAAATTGTGCTTTGCCTGTAATGAATTTATCTAATGTAGGCAATTTAACTGTCTTCTATCAGAGAATAATTTAAAACTGCTGTTTTTTGTGAAAGTTATCTTCAATACAGAGTATGTTCATATTTTCGCTACAGCGCACCTACTCAATTTTTTTTTTTTTTTTTTTTTTTGGAACAGATGAAATACAGAAATTGCTGAATTATAAGGGCAGTAATTAATCTTAGAACTAAATTGCACTTTGCACTACATTTTGGTTAAAAGAAATAATCATGCAGGCAGCAGTAACTAAATCTCATGTATTGAACACATTTTTTTTAAGAAAAAAAAAATAAGAGTTTTCAAAATGTTAAAGTAGAAAACTTACCCTTCTGTATTTTGATACATACAGTCCTTCTCATTGTGATACAACATACATGTACCATTAATTTCTTAAGTCAACGATAACCTTGACCTACAGGGGTATAGTACTGTACGCCAAACAGATGTCACCAGTGGGTATTAATTATTAAGATACATTATTAATTTAATAATTACCCGTAAACGCGGGACCCTTTCATCGTAATTTGATTTTTTGATAAAAGTACAACTTTTCTATAATAGAATAAAGGTAAACGTAAATTAATAAACTTGCTTACTGATTTCTTATAATGGTATTAATATAAATGGACACTGTTTCCTCAGATAGATTTGGTTAATAATGATAACAATTTCGAAACAGAAGATCAACATAAAAAGAAATTCAAGCAAATAAGCAAATGAAAGGGGTGGGGGGGGGGGGGTATGTGACATATAATTCAAAAAGCTATAAAAAAAAATCACACAGGACAGACAGTGATTAAAAAATATATTTACAGTTACCTCCCTATGCAGAGGGCCATTTTACCTTAATTACAGTCTTGGCACAGTACATGTAGTTCTTGCATACATGTATCATATAAATGTACATGTATAGGTGTATGGAATGCTAATTTTTTATCGGGACCAATCCCTTATAATTTAAGTTTTTCAAATACTACCGGAACCACCCTTGAAAAATATTTTATTTAATCAAGAGTTTATAGGTCATATGACAACGCATGCCCTAATACATTAATGGTCAACGTGCCCTTAATCTGACCTTGATCTACATACAATATTCGTTCTCTCTTAATCTTTCAAAGACAACGGGTATGCTGAATTTATAATTTGTCCTTATTAACAGGACACGAATTTGGCCTTTTTTTTCATCCAAAAATATGACAATATAATTGATGAGATTAAGGTTAGAAGCTATATAAAATGATAGCGGAATACACATCCGCAAAACAGAAGATCGGAGACCATACCTCCCTCATCGTGCAGAAGGTAAATATGGGAGATAACTCATCTTTATTTTGACTTTTTTGTATCTTTTTAAACTTTTAACATTTATTAAGTCTTGAATATACATTAAACTATACTAGCATATTGTATAAAAATGTTAATTAACGAATCATTTTTACTGCTTGTGATTTCAAATTTGAAGAAATGATTCATTTGCTCATTTCCTGAAAAATCGGGAAATTTAAGTTTTTTGATTTGATTTTTGCATATTATTTTGATCTGAACCTTAATTTTGCAAAAATCTGTGATAGTTAATGGATGATATATCCCAATTGTGATTTCAAAATTGAAAGAAGAACTAGCTTTTGTTATTTTGAATTTGCTACTATTGTCTTGAACTTCCTTACAGTGCTAAAATCATGAAGACGATGCTGTTTCTTATCGTGTCATGTTTGATAGCGCATGCGTATGGGCAATTTAATCCTGTCTGTAAGTAGATTTTATCACAAAAAATTTCGTTTAAAAAAATATGAATAATTGTAGTGGAAAAGGATTTATTTTGTAATATCTCAAAGCACCTGGAGACCGAATTTGAAAGTTGAAGTACGTCATATTTAAACTGATAAATTGGGAGAGATCTTCAAAAATTATTATCAGAAAGTCAGACAAATAATATCGCCGATATTCATATATCACTGGCTTATCTGTTATAAGGAAAAACATGTTTTAATATTTTTGTGCAAATATTACTTTTAATGATTAAAAACAATTTTTGAGATGAGTTATACTTAAATAATCAAAATCAATATCGTGTACATAACAGAGCTGTCCCAAAATCTTGATTATATCGAGCTTTGTCTTTGAGAAATCGAAGTATAAACTCGAAATACTGATAAGATCTATCGCACATTCTATTCTATATACACCATATACTGCATGTCGAATTCTTTTAGTTCGTTAGGGTCAATGTCTTTGGGTATTCATGTTATTGGTTCGTGGGAACGCAATTTTGCAGGTAGCTCATAAGTTATCGTTCTTGGGTATTGAGGGAGAACCCACGAACAATAATGATTCCACAGTATTGGACATATCGATGCTTTGAGATGTCAGAGTTCAACGATTTGTAAAAGGGGAATAAATTGTTCATATATTTGTCACGTTATCATGTTCAACTAGTCATTGTTGTAAGCTTATTTAACTACTTAAACCATTGCTTTCAAGTGGAGATGTCGTCTTAATTTTACTAAAGCAATCCCTCCTATTTGTCAGTGGAGATGTCCCATGAATTTTATTAAAGTTACCCCTTAATTTTGATAAGTCATCCTTTTATTTTTTATTTTGAGGGGTCGTCTTCATTTTATCAAAGTTATCTTTTGTGTGTGGGGGGAGGGGGGAGGGAGGGGGGTTCAGTGGAGGTGTCGCCTTAATTTTAACAGAGTTATTCCTCTTGTGTGTTTTTTCAGTGGATGTGTTGCCTTAATTTTATGAGAGTTATACCTCTTGTGTTTTTTTAGTGGAGGTGTCGTCCTGCACACAGAGCCAGCTGGTCATCACACTGACCGGGGCTTCGGACACCGGGACAGTGTACATCCAGGGCCGGACCGCGGCCTGTCAACAAACGACCAGCAGCGTGGGGACCGTCTCTCACACCTTCCTCTTCAGTTCGTGTGGCCTCCAATGGGTAACTGTCTTATTTGCATTCACATCTATAGGACAACAAAGTTACAGCGAACATATTTATTATGTATTCACCGTTACCAATAAGTGATATGCATTCCAAATAATTAGTACAATTAATATTTTTATTTGTTCTGGATTGATTTGTCTCAATTTCATTAATACCAATACTGCTTGACAGTAATTCTTAACTTAACAAATTGTATTTTATCGTCGTGAAAATATGTTGGTAACAATATATTTGGACCGTGATTGCAGGAGGAGTCGTTCAAAATCATTGTGCAGAAGAATGCATTGTACCAGACTGGTGAAGACAAACAGATCCCTGTTATGTGTATAACCGATCTCTCAGACATAGAGGTGACGAACAACCTTAACGCTCTGTGAGTAGAAACCGTTCTTTTATACTGAAGGTGACAAACTACCTTAATGCTCTGTGAGCTTTGCCAATATGCATCACATAGAAACGTAGACTATGTTTATGACATTCTAACTTAAAGCTTTACAACTAAAATGATCAATGGACAATCAATCTCTAATGCCTCCCAATGATCTATTTATCTGCAACCTATTTACATTGGCCAATGTTTTCTTCAATAATAACCATATCAGTAATATCCGCCCGTATACCTTCCCAGGCGTGGATCCAGGGACTTTTTCCGTGGGGGGAGGGTTTAGGGGTATCAACTGTAAGAAATATCAGACTCGCAAATATTTTGACTCCCCCCTTCAAAAAAAAAAACTTCTTCTCGAGCCGAAAAACTTATTTTCTGTGTTTGTTAAGGGGAGTGGGTTATAGAAGAAGACTCTTTACTTCAGATATATTACTCTCCTTAATTTATTTGGAGGAGTCAGGATTTTTTTTTTTTTTGGGGGGGGGGGGGTGGTTCGTTGCTTTTACATAAATTTATTAAGTTTCAAAATCCTAGGGGGATGGTGTCCGATCGAACTCCCCCGGCGCCTCCATTCCATTTAAATCATACTTCTTAACTGCATCGTATTTCTTTGGTGTTTCTAACTTTTTTTGGTTATCGTTGGGACAGGAGGCAAGACTAACATTTCCATTTATGTATATCGGGGTCGCTACATCTGAATTATCAAGTTCTCCATTGTCGGTCGGTTATTATATCATGTACCCCAAAAGGTAGACTTAATTTCCCACAGGGACAAAGATGATGACACGGGAAAAAACCTGACAGTGAAACCCACCGCCACCATGACACTCTATAGCAACGGATTAGATGTGGGCGGAGGAAACGTCAAACTGACAGATGCTATTACCATGGGATTACAGCTGGGAGCAGATTTCGTCAGTAAGAATGTGTATTTCGATCCCGACCTAATTTCTATTAGCATGCAACGGCAAATCTTAGTGCATTGTCATATATATATTTGTTTATTAAATTAGAAAAACGTACATTAGCCATGTATTCAGATAAATTTCTTTCAAATATTAATGATCGTTACAGTAAAGCAATATTCGGAGGTATATATTAAACGAAGCCTTTCACATCTTAAGCCTTCATACTTTCAAAATGTTTTGTTGGGGATATTCTAAAATCGTTATGTCAAATGCGAAAATAGATGTCTATTTTGGAAGGGAATTATTCACAAGAGTTTTAAAAAGCCATCTAAAAGTGAGTTTTCTAAATTTTCTTTAGGCGATTTCGATATTCTGGCGTCGTCGTGCACTGCCTCAGGGATCTCCATCATTACGGATAGGTATGTATCGCATGCTACTTATTATAAGAAAAAAAATCTTGAATAATTCAAGTGCATGTATAATTGTCTTGAAATCTGGAAATCTGAATAAAAAATATCAATTATCAAGTAATGATTGCACTCAAATCGCTGATATGCATGTTTCTATTGTTTTCAATGATTAATCTAAAATATAACAATAATTCCCGCTCAAGAACTCAATTTTTAGGTACTGTAGTTAAATCAAACTTCTTACATAAACTTTTTTTATACTTCCGCAGCTGCGCACCAGACACAGCCTTGTTCCCGAACTTTGCTAAGCCTTTACAGGGCTACCTGGCCGCCACCTTTGGGGCCTTTAGGACCACCTCTCTTGACGGAGGTTCTGTAGCTATGACATTTTCCTGTACCCTGAAAGTCTGTCTGGGCACCTGTTCTCCAGTACGTAGTTTGATGTCATGATTTCGTTAAAGGTTCATTAGTATTTGAACAGAATGAACACTTTGATGTAAATAAGTGGAAACTGTCTAAACCAACACCTGTGAATCCGTTTCACTGTGAATTCTGATCCTTATTTTAATTCCCATTTTACTATTTTCTATGTACTTTACACTGTGCAATCTGACACACTGTCTTTTCCGAGGCAAACAGGATTCAATGTAGTTCCAAGTAGGCAAGGTCATATTTAACAACGGCCATTGCATTGGTTTGTTTTTCGTCCCCTCGGAGAGAATTTCTCACTAATGCTGGGAGGATGTTCAAATCAGGATTTTCGATAGAAAAAATTATAAACAGTGTCATTTTTGTAGAGGGTTTAACAAACGAAACTGTTGATCAAACGAGACTGTTGATCGTACATGTAAGGTTGAGTATTAAATGCAATAAGGATGCATACATGGACATTTAAACATGACTTGGCCTCAAAGCAATAAATTGAGAATAAACTTAAGTCAAAATTTAGATATTTAATATCCTGATATTACTTTTACAAACATATTTGAAAACTTGAAAGTTTGTTTAATATTTAAAAGCAAACAGATCGCAAAAACTTTGTTTATTCTTTAATTTATATCAAAAGTTATACTGATTTGAAATTTTGACTAAAATCTGTTCCCAGTTTATGCTCTTGTGACCAGCTCATACTTTTCAGCATCAAGCAGTACGCTATTTGGGGCTATTTTCTTTCTGTCGACCAATGTTGATAATTGAACGTTAAAAAACAAATCTTTCTCTCGAACTATTTCAAGAAATAAATTTACCTCATTTTTAATTTATTGTTATTTTTAAGTGGATGGTTTGTGAAATTGTGTAATATTTAACACAGTGCATGGCATTCAAAATGTCTGGCGAGGGCTCAAGTATTTCTTCCAGACCTGTCATTTATTATTTTTAAATACATGTATATTCGTTAAATGATATTAATTAACGTTGCAGGTTGCTTGCTCTAACGGAGAAAATGGGTACGGAAGAAAGAAGAGATCTCTGGTCAAGCGTCAGGCTGCTCCCGACAACGAAATAGAAGAAATCAATGTTGGTGCGACGCTTAAAATCACCACGGAATCTGTTGTCCTTGAGAGTAAGTTCTTTTTTTTTTTTTTTACAGAAGTGGATCAGTGCCACTTTTTTTCTTTCCTTAACATTCCAATTTTAAAGTTAATTTTATCCAGCTTTACATACATGTAAATAATAACAACGTGGCACTATCTGTCTTACCTTTATTTTGTTCAAACAGTATTTTCAATATATTGTTTTTTTTTAAGTCTCGTAACAAGAGATGAAGAACTGATAACTCATATTCTTTAAAAATTACTTTCTTTTTAAAGCTGAATTGGAATTTTCCTCATTTAAAAAAAATGTTTATTTTTCAACTCTTTTATACATAACTTATCTTTGTTTACAATGTAAATGTCTAACATGCACAAGTATTTTTCAAATTTTGCAGTCAAGTGACCACAATGTTATTTTATCATGTTTGTTACATGAATGAATAAAATAAACCTGCGTAAATAACTATAATTTTAGATCCAGAGGACGATAACGAGGTCTGCATTGGGAAAGCCCCTTTCATTGTAGCTACTCTAGCTGTGATTACCGCCTTAGTGACCTCAGCCGTGACAGCCTTGACCTTCCTGAAGAAGAACAGAGCCAACGCGCAAGCGCTAAAGAAACTTGATCCTTCTGGCCTCACATCTGTTTCGTTATCTTAATTCCGTCACAAAGGAACTGCGATCCCAATTTTCCTGAACACAGAACTTTTACAAAATGTGATTGAATAGTGCTATATTTTTCTGAAATTTTCAAAATTTTGTTCTCACTTTCTTATCAATAAATCCTGAGCATGCAGACTTGATTTTATTGTATTTAAAGCTACAAAATTAAATGATTAAGTATATTTTAAAAAAATGCTACAAAAATAAAGTTTTTCTGATATTCACACCCACGCGCAGACAAGAGCATGCGCGTTCACTCTGCATCTTATTTTTTTTATATTGGTTTTAATTTGTCTGCTTTGTATGTTGTAATATCCGGCTTTATCCCGAATGGTGTCTAGGAACACAGAATGGATCAAAAAGGTACAGAAAACCCTTTACAAAGACAAAAGTGCATGTCAATAAAGGTGAAATCAATTTTCTTTTATTTAAAAGCTACAGAATTTATTTTGCATTAAATCATAATTTTACAGAATTATTTGACGAAACGAAAAGAAGGATAAGAGTAATGTCGAAATTTAAAAGTACATCTCATATCAATTCAAAAAGAAAAAGACTACATGTATATGGACATCAATAGTAAACATAATGCAAAAGTACCAAATAAACACAAATACAATATACTTTAACTTCAGCAATTTACAAATATACATGTACCTTAGAAATACAAGATCATATAAAATCGATTACGTCAGATTTGTGGTGATTTTGGTTTAATTCAAACAAGTGATATACAGATTTTTTATTGGTGTTTTGCCGCCTGTTTTGTTCAAATGTTGAGTGCATCATTTGCTAAAGCATCGTTGACGTCACATTCTTTGATCACGTGGGGAGTTTTCAGGTTGAATTCGTGTTTAGTTATTCCCCTTTCTCCTAAAATTGGAAAAGAGAATTGAATTGTATTTCACTGAACTCTTTCTAAATGTTGGCATGCAATATTTTAAAAAAAGGTAATTATATCGTACAGTCGAGAGGGTCTATAAGTATTAAGACAAGGAGCTGATAAATTAACTTCATTTCTTTAGAAGTAGTAGAGTGGGGCCACATGATGGTATGATGGTGGCTTAAAGAAATTAACTTCATTAAGCCACCTTTAAGCCGTCTCTAAGCAAAATCTTATGAAATTGTTTTACGTCCTGTGACAATAGGGAATTAAAGTTTGAAACGGAGATATAGAAGGTATGTTTACTCTGAGTATTATACAAATATTGTTGTCAGAGGTACAAGCAAAAATAAATCGTGAGGTTGTATTGAGAAATCTCTATCTATTAAATTGTTTAAAAAGAACAAGATTGCGGCACCATTATAAAAATAAATCTAATGAAAGTGGACTAGGCAATATATGCAAAGTTTAAAACAATTTGTGTGTAGGAATAGGGTTGGGAATGGACGGGAATGAGAGGGCCTTGCTCCCCATTGCACTATGACATTGAAAAAGTATTATTTGATTGATGTTAAATGCGTGGTTTATATGTATAAAGGATGTATAACAGGTCAGGACTCAATCTTTTATTTGTTGAAATTAAAAAAAAAATGAAGGTGTCGAGAAAATTTAAAAAAAAAAAAAATCAGGCTTTGTTTTAACGGAAATCAAATTTAAACCTTTATCTAATAATCGTCAGCATCATCACGTATTTTAAAAAAAAGTAAAAGGAAATGTAGAATGTTTTTTTTAGGAACAGCGGCATCCTAAACGTTCAGTAGATAAACTTTGCCCCTGGAATATGTGTGATCTTTCAAAAACGAACATTATTTCATTATTAGATTTACAAAGGACTCAGCACCGACGCTCACCGCCCCCTTTCCCATTTTAATTTTTATTTATTTATTTTTTTGATTATTTTAATTATTTTGACTTATTTATTTCGTACATTTTGTTTGTATATACTTTAATGTAAGATTACACGTAACGTTCAGGCACCCTATATTCTGCAATTTCTGAATTTGCCACTGATTTACATTGTACAAACTGTAAACAAACTCACCAGTTACGAAACATAGACTTGTTTTTATTTTGTTTATACTTTTGCAAAGTAATTCCTTGTGACAATATGTCTGGATCTTTAAATCCAGGTTATACATACCGTTAGTAGACTTCAAATCGTTGTAAAGTTTTACTCCAAAGTCTGGATCAACAAATAAAGTCTTCATCTCTTCTAGAGTTATGATATCATCCTCATTCTGGTCATAGGTGTGGAAGTTACATTGATTGGCTAGAATCCAAATGACGTAACGTCCGGTATGCTTCTCAAATTTGAAATAGTATATATCACAAATCAGTACAGTTGCACACAATTGTCATAACTATAAACCTCTTTCGGTGTTAAGAGTTTTTTTTTTATCATTTGAATGAAAGAGAACAGAATTTAGAAATCTCACTTACCCTACAACTATCATTTGACCTTTTGAACTCCCTCGTGACGCTGAATCCAATACCCCAGCCCCCCCCCCCCCCCCCCCCTAGAGTTTACATTGCCGGACAATGAAAATTTGGTACTGGTGTCTTTGTATTGAATTCTGTGTTCCAATTTTACCCCGGCCTCAAATGTACCTTTTTTGTCTAGATTCAAGGTTGCGCCAATGAGGGATTCTGATTTTTGAGAGTGGATCTGTGCCACCAGAGTTGCAAAAAACGCAGATGAAGTTCAATTTCCCCTATTCATGAAAGTGGGAAAATATTGGAAAATGGATTCTATTCAAATGATAATATCAATCTTGGTCTATTTCTCAACGTTTTTGCTTCACAAAAAATAATCTCAGATATCACTGGATCTATTATCATTCAGAATAAATATCCTCAACAATAGTGTGCCTTTGCTTTTTTGGTAAAACTTGGAAAGAGTTGATTGTTATATCAAAGATTTTAATTTAGTTAATCTAAACAATATTTTATTATAAATTGCACGTAATAGGATTGGACAGCAGGCATTGCCTATCGACATATACGTCCTCTCCATAAAAGAGCAAAGATTTTAAAACTAGAATTCTCGTTTCGTTAAAACTCTGCTTAAATCGTCTGTCATTTAAATCATATGAAATAAAGTATTCTAATAAAAGTATATTCCTGTTGAATTTATTTTAAAAAAACATAATTGAAGGAGAATGCTTTTGTGTAATAATAAAATATTTTGAAATGTTGCATTTTCTCTAAATGTACAAGTCAAAATTTTTTAATTAACTCACTTTGAAACTATTCAACTTCAAACAATATACTTATTCAAGGCAAGCTTTGTGTTATTATGTAACTTTAAG